CGAGTCAACAAGTGCTATCAGGTGATCTTCCGTAGCTTGGCTATGATATCAGACAAATTGAATTGTGCTGTGCTTGAAACTTTCAAAATATAGAGCTCAGTTGGAGGTGACAGCAATGTATCCATAGTGTCACTGACAGACCACTATATAAACAGACGCTTTCTTGCTGTAACTCGCACCCTAACATGTCAACTAATAACAACTGCACAACATGTGACATACCAATCTCGGCCGCAGCTGCTGCTGTGTACAAGTCACCGGTCATGTCTGAAACATCGAGGAAATGAATAGACTGAGTGATTGGTTTATATGCGCATGGAGGTGCATATCTGCCTGCCAACCGTCGTGACGCATGGATATGAGGATGACACAGGCACGTTGGCGTATAGTGAACGGATTTAAGGCCCCATGACTGGGTAGTAGGTACACAAACATGAACACCAGGTAGTGTGTAGAGGCATGCTTAGACACATGAACACCAGGTAATGTGTAGATGTATGCTTAGACACATGAACACCAAGTAGTGTGTAGAGGTATGCGTGCGGTCTTGCGATCATACTGAGTGTCTGTACAGTTGTCATCGTGCAGGGGTGATGTATCTGTACGTGTGTTTAGGAATTCTAAACCATAAAACCTTGTGCAAGTGCGCAGCACTCAGGATCGACAGATGGCACCTTGAATAAGCCCTGCCTATCCGTCTTCTGTCCATATTCGGTCCACCCAGAATAAAAAGGGCAGAGCTGACTCTTCTTAAAACTACTCGCACATGGGCGCTACACTCAGCACAAGTCACTATGCCAATGACTGTGACGAAGACTGTATTGTCATACACTGTCAATCTAAACCCTAAAACCCTATACACCACAACTCAACAGATAAGCCCAGGCGAAGGAACACCACACCACACTGTGCGTACATCTGTGTACGACTGTCACTGTGCAGTCAACCCCACACACATCAGACAAGGCACAGGGTTAATAGACGCTAAAACCCTAAACCCTACAGCGTGCGTACACAATGTGGACGAATCAAGCACATCAGCAGGCGGGCTGCATACGCATGGCAGCGTACGGATCTCTGGTACCGTTGTGTGAGCTGTGAATGCTTATACACGAAAGGTATGGCAAGTACTAAATACATGTAGGTATTAATAAAAAATACATGTAGGTATACTCCCACCCACCTGGATATGTCACCCGTGCCTGTACCCCCACGGGTGCAACGGACAGGGGCGTTGCCATGGTGAAGGACTTGCCCATCATAGTGAAGCGTGTGGTCAGGTCGGCGGCTGTGACACCGGTGAGCATGCGGGGCACAATCTTCCAGCGGTTGAAATCGTCCATGTTGGAACGGTATGTGTCTGTGGGGAGATAGGGCACCAGGCGGATGGGTCTCTCAGGGGTACTTGTATAGATATATTGGTTGTTTATAGAGTTATATTGGTTGTTTACAGAGTTATATTGATTATTTATACAATTTTATTGGTTGTTTATAGTTATATAGGTTATTTATATAGTTATATTAGTTCTTTATATAATTATATTGGTTGTTTATAGTTATATTGGTTATTTAAATAGTTATATTAGTTATTTATATAATTATACTGGTTGTTTATATAGTTATATTGGTTATTTATATAGCTATATAAATTAATTATAAAATTATATTGGTTGTTTATATAGTTATACTGGTTGTTTATAGAGATATATTGGTTATTTATATAGTTATATTAGCTATTTATATAATTATATTGGTTGTTCATAGTTATATTGGTTATTTATATAGTTATATTAGTTATTTATGTACTTATATTGGTCGTTTATATAATTTTATTGGTTGTTTATCTAGTTTGGTTATTTATATAGATACATTGGCTAATGTTACTACAAAGGATGACACCCCATACATGCATACATACAAACATCTACTACAAAAGCACACAATGCATGCATACCAACATTAATGACAACAACACACCTTTTATTCTTACAAATATCAGCATACAACCACATACCACTTATTCATACAAATATCAATACACAACCAGACACCATTAATTGATACAAATATTAACATGCAACTAAAACCCTAAACCCTAAAACTCACCATGAAGACCCGCCCGGCCGAACAGCCACACAGTGCAATCGGGTGACACTGTCTCCACAAACTTCTTCTCCAACCGCTCAACGTCCAGAGGCACATCCTGTGAGAAATAGATGAAGTAGAAGAAAGGGATGACATGGATAGTACGTGTGAATGAGGACAGAGAGAAGGAAGATATGATATAGATAATACGTATGAATGAAAACAAAGAAAAGGAAGATATGATATATATAATACATATGAAACAGAACAGAGAGAAGGACGATATAATATAGATAAAACATATGTAAGAGAAAAAAGAGAAGGAAGATATGATATAGTTAAAAGATAAGAAAGTGTGAAAGAGAGGAAAGTCATTGATACCATCAGTGACACAGCAGTGAATGGGTTTATTCATGTACACGCCGACGAGTGCGACGCCAGGCGTTAGTATGGCTGTGAGTGTTGGACGACAATGTATATGACGGGATCCCAACTCAGCCCACACAGGACCATCTATCTACATGCACAGATCAATCAATCTGCATACACAAATCCATATATCTACATACATAGGTGTATCTATTTACATACCCAGATCCATCTATCTGCATGCACAGATTCATCTATATACATACATAGATTCATCTATCTACATACAAAGATCCATCTATCTACATACATAGATTCATCTATCTACATACACAGATTCATCTATTTACATAAACAGATTCATCAATCTACATACACAGATACAACTATCTATATGCACAGATCCATCTAACTACATACCCAGGTTCATCTATCTACATACAAGGTCACATCAACACGTCCACATACGATACCTACACCTACTCACATCTACCACCGTCTCTGCTAACATCCACTACCGTCTCTGTACGCTTGTTCGTACCTGTATTTTGCCATAGACGCCGTCCCAATACGATTGCCACTGCACTGCCCCAACCAGGCCCATGTCTGGCAGCATGGCCTTTAACACCTCTCGCGGAGGATACAACTGCTGGTTCTCTTTGCGTCGCTCCGCTACCTGAAGACAGGGTTTAGGGTTTGGTTGTGAAGGAGGGGGTGGGGTGTGAAGTGCTCACTACAACTGCGGGTGATAGACACTATCTGGGTTCAGCTCAGCAGATCAGACGAAGGAGAGGCAACCCCCGCAGCAATGATATTCATCTAGACGATAACAAGTTACAATTATCTACATCACACTCAAACCCTTAAACCCTAAAACCCCTTTGACTTGTGGTATAGAGACTGCCCCAACCTACGCAGGAGACAGGGTGTTCTCAAGTCATGCACCAAACTATTTAGATGCAAGCCATGACACACAGTGAGGCGGTGTGCGTGTGCTTGTATATGTATGTGCTTCTGTGCAGGACACTGCGCTTAAACAGGACAATAAGTACCACAGCGGGGTTGAATCATGGTGTCGATGTGTTCGTATTGGCATTGATTTGCCCATACAGCCCTGCACATGTGAAGTCGTAGTTTTGAATCTGCCTATCGTGTGTTTTGTGACTATTCGTGTGTTTCCATACATTTTTATATGTTCATGTAACGTATATGCGAATGTCATCTGCACACTGATTTAAAACCTTCCGTATCTCAATTCCTTCTACTACTTGTCATAGCATCTTAAGAGTGCATACTTGATTTAATCTAACATTATATTTTTAACTATGGAGCTTATGTATGACATAACATCGTAAAGAGTACTTGCTTATCATAGCGCCTTAATATCTATACTATGGCAGATAAGTTTAAAGTATGAGAGTTCACTTACATCATCTACATTGAACAAACGTTCCTGAAACGCATCAGAACTGCTAGGTGTTGCTGCATCTCGCCTCAGAGCAACGGCTGCAGTGCGAAATGCTCTCGTCCCCGTGCGTGCATACACTTGCAGGACCTGTCGTGGGCTTATACACATACTTCAACGCTGTTTGAGACGATGTCCCCTCTTGAACAAGGCTCCAACAGTACTGCAGTCTTAAAACCATTTCATGTAAACATTTAAAGTGTAAATAGGTTTTATTAAGTAGGCTATGGTAAAGTGTAAACTATACCTTATGATTTGAGTACCTCACACAACGAATGGTAGAGTTGTCACAACTTGTTGTTTACTGCACAGTGAGCAAACTTATCGGCAGAGTTGCCATTTTTGGGGTTTGATTTGATTGTCCAATCATATTCACGAAAAGCTTTTCCAAAAAAGCCAATCGTCCGCAATTCCGCAATTCCGCACCATCTCTGGACTCTGTGCTACAAACAGCAGGCTACACCGCTCCTGTGACAGACATACACTACCACACCGACGCCTACACTCCTACACATGTAAATACAATGTATTGCATTTATATACAGTTGTACATAACACGTGCATATATTTTATGTGCTATGTTTATATTCCAAACGCAGACAGCATGGGTAGACTCGTATTGATCCTGATTGGTCAATTGGTGTCGATGTATATTAGCGTGGTGCCTCGCAGAGATTCACAGAGGCGGATATTGACAGACTTAGACTGGCCCTCGCTCTGTCAAACCTTGACCGAATTCAAGAAAATAAATCCACACTTTATAAGACAGGATCAAACATCGAGTTCGTGCGGAAGTCAGTGTACACACGTGGCATGATTTATCATGATTTATTGTTGATACTGGGCTTGTCCTCCCATGCGCTATGGGATTTACTTAAAATTGATTCGTGTGTTGGTATTGAAATAAGCAATTATTACTATACGCACAGTTCTAATATATCGTTGAATGCCGGTTTTTGTTTCTGCTTTATCCCGACTTGGTTAGCTTGCCAACGAGGAAATACAACCCTCGATTTCCATACATGCAGGGTTTAGGCTTCTTTCGTTATTATGCTTTGCGCGACCTTGACGAGTGATTACCTCGGAATAACGCATGTGATAGGGCCTACTTGAGAAGTACCCACAACTCTGTTGTGGACAGAGAGAACTCGTTTATAAGCCGAATAGAGAGAACCGAGTGGTAGATGAGCTGCACACAATGAAATTCGAGAAGTGAACTGTAATTGTTCGTGTATTTATTAATTAATTCGTGACATGGTGTTTGAGTTGTCTATTTGTACTAAAGCCAGCATAGCAAATGAGTGATAGATTGGTATAAACATCACCATATCTACAATAGCCATATCGAGTAGCAGTTGGTTCTAAAACAAAGAGGATGATGATAAGCTTCATTATGTGCATTTCAAGTACGTCGATTATAAGATACTTAGCGACAGTACTTGTGTCGTATTTACAGCGCAACCATGAAGTTGGAGAACTTTTATTAGCGATTAAATACTTCTCCGATGTTGTAGAACGTAAATCCTCTAGACATGCTTTCATCGAGTATGAAGATATAAACCCAGCACACTACATCACTTCGCATCCACAGCCACTAAAAACACCTTCGGCTGAAAGTAACAATTTGAACATGGGCTGTATAGAATTAAGTATATATATATATATATATATATATTTATATATATATATACGTTAGTATAACTATTAACATATATATATATATATATACATATATATATATATACATATAGTACGGATA